GTCCTGCAGAGGGAAGCAGGTGATGAGCAGAGCAAGGCTCCAGCCTGGCCCTAGAGGCATGGCCCGGTACTCAGGTGACCAAGGAAGAGGCCCTGCAGCCACCAGCCATGTGGCAGGAACAGCCGTACCCGCTAGGAGCCCTGTCCACCAGGGAGCTGCAGTCCTCAGAGGGGCTCAGGCCAGGCCCGGGCGGCTTAGGCAGCCTGCAGGTACGGGAACAGGAAGTGCCTGGCCCTGAGCTGCAGCTGCCCCCGCCATGAGCCAGAGAGAAGGGAGCGAGAGGCTGGCTGCAAGCAGCCTCTGTGGCCCATGTGTAGGGCCTGGCGGACAGTGGAGCACACAGCCAGTGGGATGAGGGCTCTGGGACACTAGCCCTGGCTGCAGAAGGGGAGGCAAACACAGCAGGACAAGAGCGGGCAGGACCAGGAGTGTTTAGGGTGCCCGCTGATGGGTTAGGATGGGCTGCTGTGTTCTGAGTGGCCGGGGTCTCTCCAGCCCTGAGACAGAGCTGTCCTCTAGCTCCTCAGGTGGTTCCCAAGAGGGTCCCTCTCCCACAGAGCAAGACTTAGCTTCTGGTGGGGTGGCCTGGGAGCCATCAGGATCGAGTTCTCACAGACTCACTCAGGACCACTCTCGGGTCTTTCTTGAGTGCCTATATCTTCCTCATCGGGGCAGCCCGGTCCTGGATATCTTGGGCTGGTCCTAATATGAGCCAGGACCCCCCAGCTGTTCCACTGGCACCAGCCAACCTCCCCCATCTTCACCTGGCTTGGGCCACTTCACTTCGCCTGGACACACAGGCTCAAGCCACCATCCTCCACGTGGGGAGAGAAACAGCCCAGACTGTCTGGCCCTATGCCACGATGGGGTCCTGAAATACCCCAGAGTTGGATGAGACCGGCAGGTCTGTGCGGGCGACGTGTGCATTAGTTCACAGCCTTTTCATGGAAGTTGGCCTGTGACAGCTGCTGCCCAGAGCAAAGCCACACCCGAGGGTGCATTTGCCAAGACGGGTGCTGGCTCGGATGGGAAGTGGGTGCCTTCGGGTGGGCTGACTACAAGCTCATGCGAAGCCTAATGCCACAGGTGCTGGGTTTCAGCAGGGACAACACCGTACTAAGGAACAGGTGTCAGTCCTGCTCTCCCCTGGGAGATGGTGGGCAGCTGTCACACCGCCTGCCTGAGCCACCACCTCTGGGAGAACCCTCAAGCTGGGTGGCAGCCCCTCGTGGTCCCCAGGTCCAGTGAGACATGTGGACCTGGCACCACGGAGTCCCCCTGAGGTAGACTAAGTGTGACCACAGGTAGAAGCAATGGAAAGGCCGGCGACTTCCAGGCCCCCAGGCCCCCCTGGGGCCGCCCACAGGCCCTGCTGCCCACCTGTCCTCACCCATCTTCCTCTCGCAGAGTGAAGCCTGCCGGGAGCATGAGCGACATGGCCCTGGATCCCTTCGACCTGGACCGGATGAAACAGGTGAGCGCTTCCATCCCCCAGGCCAGGAACAGCAGCTGCTGGGGCCACTTCCTGTCAGCGGGGCCTGGCTGTGGCTGCAGGGTTGGCGGAGAGCCAGCCAGGGGAGGACAGGGGTGTCCCCAGCCCTGCCAGCACCAGAGCCAAGGTGTCCCCCCTCCACCTCTCTCCTGGGGCCACCCTCGGTGTCCCCAGCAAGTGCTTGAGAGCATCCCCGCTGCCTTCCCTCCCTCTAAGGCTCTGTCTCACAGGAGATCCTGGAGGAGGTGGTCCGAGAGCTCCACAAGGTGAAGGAGGAGATCATCGATGGTGAGTGCAGTGGAGCCACCTTCAGGGCTGTCCCAGAGCTGTGGCACACAATGGGGCCCCAAGAAGAGGCGGGGAGATGCCTCGGGGTGCTGAGTGGGGAGACTGCGACAGGATGGGTCCCACCGGGTGGCCCCAGTCAGGACCCACTGGGGAGTGGGAGGGCATGCTCTCCTCACGATGCCCCAGCACCCATCTTTAGCTGAAGAAACTGGGGCTCAGACTTCGGGTGGCCTGAACCCAAGGCCTCCACATCCCTGCTTCCCCCTGGAGGATGCCAGACCTGTGTGGAGGGCAGGGTGGTCCCGGCAGATGCTCCCAAGGCACCATTATCTGTTGGTTCCTTCTGCCTCTCCGATCTGCCAGCCCCAGTCCCTGGTGCTGGGGTCCTGAGAGGGCCACGGCTTTCCTGGGGGGCCGGGGGGCGGAGAGCCACCACCTAGGCCTGAGCTCCTTCCCAGCCTTGGCTTGGGCTGGGGGCAGATGAGGTGCTCCCCCAGAGCCCCTGGTTCCAGAAAGCAGGCCCGTGTCCCCTGCATCACATCCGTCCTTCCGGCCGCCAGGCCTTTGAGGAGCTAGCTCAGATCTGCAGCCAGAGGAAAGGGAAGGTGTGGGCAGGGTGGCCACACCCTGGCCAGCAGAGAGCCCGGTTCCTGGCCGTCCACCTCTGCCTGTCAAGAGCCCTCGTGAATGAGAAGACCCCTTTATCACTGGCCAGGCTGACTCAGAGAGCTTGGGAGCAGGGCAGGGCGGAGCTGTCAGCAGAGCCCACCACTAGGGGTAGGGTTGTGGCCCAGCCTCTGCTCTGCCAGGCAAGGGGCTGTGGGTCCCCCAAACAGACCTGGATACCCAGGCCTGGGCAGCACAGAGCAGGTATTCATGGCAGCGTCCTGGTGCCCAGGACCTGAGGCCACTCCCAGGGCGCCGACAGGCCCTACCAGCTCTTCCCTGGACAGGGAGGTGGTGACCACCGAGCCCTCCAAGGCCTGTGTTGTCACCCACACTGTCCCTGCCAGGGCTCCACAGGGCTGGGCCTGCGGCCCGGACATGAGCTCTGGCGCCCTGGGCCAGGACACAGGCAGGTCCACCCGGGCGGGGCCTGAGCACCCTCTCCTGTCCCGTCCCTCAGCCATCAGGCAGGAGCTGAGCGGGGTGAGCACCACGTAGGTGGCCCCAGCCACGGAGGACAGTGAGGAGCTGCGGTCCTGACTCCCGGCACGCACCATGCCCGAGGAGCCGGTCGGCCACTGAGGTCTCTCTGCCTGTGGCCCAAGGTTAAGATAAGGAAACAGAGTCAACTCCTGGATTTTTTTAGATTCTATCCGACACAGAACACCAGGCCCACTCTTTTTTTGTATTTTATATTTGCTTATTTAAGTGTACATTTCTTTTGGTTTATAAAGGACACCCCAAATCACCTGCTTCATTAGATAGTTTCCAAGTTTTCTCCTAGGTGACGCTGTCGGTGCCTTCACAGGCAGCGAGGAGCCGGGTGCAGCGTGGCGTTTCCAAGCAGCTGTCCCGGCGACCATGGTGTTAAAGTCTGTCCACACACCGTGTGTTGTCCGCACAGTAATAAACCGTTTACTGTCCACGCGCGGCTCCTGCTCTCACTCTGTCGCACCGCTGACCCGGCAGTTCCTCACAGGGAAGGTCGGCCAGGGTGATCGGGAGGAACAGGAACAAGAGTGGGGCAGGGGCTCCCAGGGACCTGGAGGGTGAGCCAGGCAGCGGTGCTGGCCCAGGTGAGCCTCAGGTCTTCCTGGAGAGGATCACATACCTGGAACCCCGGGGAGACAGGGCCTCCTCGAACCTGGCGCATCCCAGGGGCTCACGTGCATTGGCCAGGTGGGGCCACAGGAGCCAGACTGGGGGAAGGGACCATGCCTTCATCTCTGCCCCACACCGACACCCTGGCCTGTGACTGCAGCAGGGGCAGAGCATGGGCTGCCTCGGGTATGACCCGCATCTGTTACTCGTTTAGCCAAAGGCGGGCTCTGACCCTTGGCCCGGGGACCAGTGTGGGTGTGGCCAGGAGCTCAGCAGTGTGGGCCTCAGTGGACTGTGACCATTTGCTCCAGGTTATCCCATGTGACCTCTGTGGCCACCACGACCCCAGAACAGAGAACCCGCCTCGGGCTCAGCCCACTCTGAGGGAGGGGACACAGTACCAGAGGAACTGCCACTCTCTGGCCCTGCTTTTGACATTCCTTCCCTGCCACGTGCCCAGAAGCCCAAAAGACAGGCATGTAACACGAGAACCGGAGCCCTGACAGCCTGGCCAGGGCCAGCAGAGCTTTCTGCGGCTCCAACTTCCCCCAACCTGCACCAGCCCCTCCCCAAGGGGTGCCCGCAGCAGGGTCTGGAGAGGTTGCAGGAGCCGCCCATGGCAGGCATGAGGAGCAGGAGGCACAACCACAGGCTGAGTGGGAGCCGGGCCTCCCCAGCCCGGGCCACCTGTGTGCACAGGGCGGGGCCGCCTGCCTGGGCTCAAAGTCCTCTGGTCACAGAGGAAGCCTCAGGGACAGCTTTCCACACTCAAAGACACCCGTACCTGGCACTGCCTGGCATCACCTACCACGCCCAGGCATGAGAAGCAGGCTGCAGCATGCCTCCTCCTAGTCCTCCCTCTCCTGGGTCGAAAGATAGCCCCGCCATCCCCACCTGTGCTGCAGCTGTGCCCAACCTGGCCTCCCCTAAGTCCCCAGGCCCAGCCACACCCTCCCCCTCCTGCAGGGAGGCTCACAGCACCTGCCATTGCTGCCCTGGACATGGCACCCAACCCCAGGTACATCAGCCCCTCTGCAGAACAGGGACGTATGTCCCCACTCCCCAGGACACTAGGACCCTGCCCACCCACTGCCCTCTGGGTGCCCATTCCCCCGTGCGTTCACTATCCAGCTCAGGGCAGCTGCTGCAGGGCTGAGTTCCAGCTGGGCCAGCAGAGCTCAGCCAGGGTGCAGAGGCCCAGAGGTTCCGGGCTGCTGCTTATACTCCCAAGGCTGCAGGGTCTTCTGCCGTCTACATCCCTAGAGCCCACCAGCCCAGTGACAAGGCCCTGGGGACCCTGCCTGAGCAAGGGCCTGGGCACACAGGAATGGTATACAGTGGCCAGGAGGGGTGACACTGGGGCCCGGATGCCACCTGCCCAGCCCTGGGGCCTCATTCCCTGGGGCCCAGCCTGCGGCCAAGACCACCCCCCAGACCACAAGGCAGGACCATGAAAAGAAACCCTGTTTAATTTAAGGCATGAGAACACCTGACAAACTAGCTCCACGGAGACCTGGGGCACTGAGCATCTGGGCCTGGCAGGTGACCAGGCCTCGCCTGCCCCATGAAGCCCCAAAGCTCCACGGAGTCCACATGCAGACCAAGGTGCTCCGCTGTGGCCTGTGCCCACTGACACCAGCTGTGGCCGTGATGGCAACTCCAGGGCTCAGTGGGGACAAAAGTGGCAGCTCGGGGGTCAGGGCAGCCAAGCTGTTCTGGAGCATGCCCAGGGGGCAGGGGACGGCCCCGAGTGGCACAGCGCAGGAAGTGAGCGCCCCAGGGCCAGCGCCGGCTCAGAGGCCATCCTGGGCCAGCTTGCATACCCGCTTCACCCTGGCGTAGGGCCCCAGGGAGTCCTTGAACACGAAGTCCCAAAGCACCTTCACCCACGAGTGGTACTGCGGCAGGTGGTCGTAGTACTCGGGTGCAATCTTCCGCACCTGCAGGGAGGGGTGGGGTCAGGGCTGCTCTCCCTGGGCCAGACCTGCTCACTCTGCCCTCCCCTGCTGCTTAGAAGCCCCGAGGCCAGGCCCCAGAAGGCACTGGGGTCCAGGAGGCCAGACTGACCCACTGCAGAGGTCTCGGGCACAGCTTGGCCTTCATCCAGCGGGGGACCCAGGATCCCCTGCTGCTCCTCAGCCCAGCGACCCATGCCCTCTCCACCCGTCGCACTCGTGGCCCTGGCTCCTGCTCCTCCCTGACACTCCCTCCTGCCAGCCTGTCCCCGACCTGGACCTGCGGGGCTTCCTGCGGGAAGTGCAAGTGCGCCAGACTCCGGGCCCCTGAGTCTCCTCGGCCCCCCCAGCAGAGGGCCGGCCCTGGCATGTCACAGGCTGTCAGGAGACAGAACGAGGGGCCTCACATGCAGTGCTGGCCAGTGTGGCCCACACTTGGGAGGAAGGGGAGCCCCTTGGAGGCCACAAGACTTCCCTGGGCACACACGGCAATCAGTGTCACAGCAGGTTCGAGCAGCCTGAAGCACCTGAAGCACCTGGGTTAGAACACGCCTCTCGAGGCCCCACGCCCTGGGTCAGCGTCCCTCCTCTGCACCTGGGCCCATGTGCCTGTCCCGTGGTCCTTCTCATGGCCCCAGGGACCGCTGTGCAAGTGGCCATCCCCTGACCAGCACAGAAAGGAAGAGGCAGCTGGGCCCAGCCAGAAGCCCCCAGGGCCCCCTCCCACCCAGCCCTGCCCAGCTGGGACCTACCAGGGGCAGATTGCAGCCCGGGATGCTGGGGAAGTCGTGGTGCTCCATGTGATAGCCCACATTGAAGGTGATCCAGTTGAGGGGCCCGTAGTAGGAGTAGGTCTCGTGGCCCTTCGTGAACATGTAGTGCTCGGCCACGAAGTGGCCTGAGATGGGGTGCAGGCCCAGGCCCAGCAGGGAGCTGGCTAGCAGGTAGGCCACGGGCTTGATCCCCCAGAGTGCAAAGATGGTGAGGTCCACAGCCAACTGCACCAGGGTGTTGAGCACCTCCATGCGGGTGATGGCCTTGGGGTGCACGCAGAGGGGCCGCAGCGAGTAGAAGAAGGGCTGCAGCACCAGCCAGAGCAGCTTGCGGGCCGGCGTGCAGAACAGCCAGCCCTCGAGCCGCGTGGGCACATCCACGTCCAGCCCGTCACCGCCCAGGTAGCGATGGTGGTCCACATGGTATTTCTTGAAGGAGGCAGCATAGGGCACACCCACAGGCAGGTTGGCAAAGATGGCGAACCAGCGGTTGCGGGAGGCGAAGGCCGTGCCGAAGGCCGTGTTGTGGGAGATGTCGTGGATGGCCAGCGTCAGCGAGTGGTTCACGCAGCCGCCAAAGGCGTAGGCCCAGAACAGGAGCCAGCGCCACGCCAGCTCCCGCACCAGCCAGCAGGCCAGCAGCTGCGCCAGCACCAGCCCCAGCACCGCCCACTTGAGGTTCGGGTCCGGCCGCATCAGGGCCTTGATGGCCGGGTACTTGGCTGCAGGCAGGACGGGGAGATGGGTGAGGCGACACTCTCGGTGGGTCTTTGTCCCTCTCTCCCTCCACTGCACCTTCCATCCTTCCCACTTCCCTCCCTTTCTCCTTTCACACCCACCCCTTTATTTTTTATTCTGAGATAGGGTCTCGCCAAGTTGCCAGGTTGCTCAGGCTGGGTTTGAATTTGCTATCCTCCTGCCTCAGCCTCCCAGAGTGCTGGGATTACAGGCCTGTGCCACCATGCCTGGCACTCACCCCCACCTATAAGCCCCAGGCAGTGACACGGGATGGGACTTGGGTCCTGTCTGGCACCCTTGCACACCCACCTCTAGAGGAATAAGCCAGCCCTGTAGGCCCTGGCCCCAGGAACACCTGGTCGGTGGGGGTGAGAGGCAGGCAGGCCACCTCCTCTCCTGGGGACACCAGCAGGAGGGAACATGTGAACAGACTAGAGACCAGGCATCACCACAGGTCACAGAAGTGTGACACTGCCTGCCCACCGGGCCTGTCCTGCTAACTGCGAAGACCAGCAGCGGAGGACGGGCGTTGGGAGGGAGACAGTCATGCCACAGTCAGTCATGCCAGCCTCGCCCGGCACTGGGCGGTGGCCAGGGGGGGAGCGGAGGGTTCAGCTTTGCCTCCGGGTTTTAGTTCTTAAAGCCAGCACGGAAAAGACCCTCTGTTTATCTTGGGTGGCAGGCATTTGTTCTCTGGTCTGTGTACTTTTCGGTGTATTGTTTTACAAAGAGAAACAAACAGTGCACTTCGGGGTGGCTGGCCAGGAGGGCCTGCAGCCCAGGGGGTGGGTGGGCCGTGGTGGGTACCAGTCCCCTGGAGCTCCGGGGGGCTGGGCAAGGCCGGGCAGAGGGGCGCAAACTGCACAAGAGCAAGAGGGGACAGCAACAGTGTCCCCTGGATGATGGGAGGGAGCAGAGTTCAGAACAGTTCAGAGACAGCCAGCTCAGGTTCAAATCGAGCTCCAAATAAAGGCTTAAAATACAGAAGGTCAAAAGAACTCCTACAATTCAAACGCAAAAGGACAAATAACCCAATTCAAAAATAGACAAGGAAGCAGGTGTGATAGAGCACACCTGTAATCCTAGCACTCAGGAGGCTGAGACAGGAGGGTTGTTCCGAGTTCAAGGACAGCCTGAGCTACATAGTGAGTTCGAGACCAGACCCTGTCTCCAAAAGAAGAAAGAAATGAAGGCATGCAGGAGTTGGTATGTAGCACAGCATGTACTGTATTCATGCTACCAGCCACACACTTCCAAAGCAAGCCGCAAATTCTACATTGCATACATTTAACCACGATATCAGAAAGCTGTAAAAGCCCAGTTTCCAGGGGCCTGGCTCTGCCCCATGCTCCGTGTCAGAGGAAGGACGGGGGTGCTGGAGACAGTGGATGGAGAGAGGGCCTGGCATTAACTGTGCTCCTCCAGCCCTGCGCTCCAGCCTGGTGCTGGCCGTGTAGGGGCCCCTGAAATGCCTGGGCAGGCTGAGGAAGACGGGAGGGCAGAACAGACCCCCAAAGATGCCCACCCACACCCTGGCTACAGGCTAGTGGCACTGGGGTTACGTGTCTGGGAGCCACGGTTATCCCGGTGGTCTGAGGCCACCACAAGGGTCCCAAGGAGCCCCAGGGAGGCCCTTGGGAGAGGAACCCACTGTGCTGTGACAGACCAGCTGGTCCTGCCTCAGCTGGTGGGGACTCAAAGGAAGGTGCCATGCCGAGCAACGTGGGCACTTCCAGGAGCCAGAAAAGGCGGAAGCCGGCCCTCCTGGGCCCCCCGATTCTGGCCCAGTGAGGTGCTGATCTGACTGCAGGATAACAACGGGGTCGCTGCAGGCAACTGGCCCAGCGCCTGGGGTACCTGCAGCATGGTGCCCTCCTGCTCCTCCCATGGGCTCAGCCAGGCGCCATCCAGCCTCAGACCTGTGGGTCACCCTCGGCCTTCCACCCGGGAGGGGCAGTGGATGGCCTCATCCCAGCTTGTCTTTGCCCCAGCAGGGGCCAGGGACGGGGACACTGCAGAAGATGCCAGTGCTGCCTGGAAAGACTAGGGCTTCCAGTGCATGACACGGTAGCCGCAGCAAGGTGCACGGGGGAGGGTGGGGGGCACACAGCAGCCCCCAGCCGCAGGGAAATCACATGCAAAGTCCTGAACGCACCCCCGAGCTGGCCCGGGCTGCGGGGCCCTGGGGACGCTCAGCTCGAGGCCACTGACTTCCAGGCCCAAGGCCATGGATTTCCTGTCAGAAGAGAGCCAAGCACAGGGCGGGGCTGGCACATCTGTGCCCAGTGAGCCCAGGGCCCTTCCTGAGATCCCAGCCAGCACTAGAGGCTCCTCTGAGGCAAGAGCAACAGCAGCCCCGTGCCTCGGCCTGGGACAGGGGCCTCAGCCTCCCTGTGTTTGGGGGGTTTGTTTTTTCTCTTTTTGCTGTACTGGGATCGAACTCAGGGTGCTCTATCACTGAGCTGCACCCCTAATCTTTTTATTCTTTAAATTATGAGGCGAAGTCTTGCTAAGTTGCCCAAGCTGGACTTGAACTTCCAAACCTCCTGCCTCAGGCTCCCAGGTGACTGGGATTACAGGTGTAAGCCTGGCTCCCCATCTGCTGAACAAAGATAATAAGCCCGACCTTGGGTGGGACATCAGGACCAGAAGAGAACACACTTGGGGTCCTTCTCTCGCTACCCTGACCACCTTTGGGGAGGCCGATGCCACTCCACTGTGCACAACAGCACCAACGACCCTGCTGTACCCCAGCCCCAGCCTCCCCTCCTCACCTCAGGGACTGGAGAGAAAGACCCCGTGTTAGGATAGCAGCACCCACGCCTCGGCCCCCCAGCCCCTGATGGGGCCTCTTCCATAGACCCCTGGAGCCACTGGGATCTGGGCAGCCACAGGGCCACCCATCAAGGGGCTCAGGCACTGCCCTGAGAGGCCTGCAGCCCTCACTCCAACCGCCATGCCTGCTGCTACATGGGTTTCGGTCCTCGGCACAGGTGTCCCAGGTCTGACCTTGGTTTCGAGGCGTCCCCCGGACCCTGGCCTGTTTCACCAAGGGTGGACTTCATGCTCCCAGCCGTGTCCCTGCCCTGAGTGAGACCCCCAGCAAACATGCCGTCCTCCACACGCCATGCTGCCCTCAGTAAACAGAGCAGATGGCCACGCAGAACATCGAGGACAGGACGTGCATTCTCCCCGGCATTATCTGCACAGCTGCTCGGACCTTCCTGGGACTGGGCCGCAGCCCTGCACCCAGATCCCTTACCACAGCCCCTCCCCAACCCTATGAAACTTTCCGTCTTCCCCGGACGATTGCTGCCATCTTTCTCCATCTCAGCCCATCCACACTGGGTGGAATAAAAACCAGCTTTCTGCTCACACAAAGCCTGTGTCCATGGGGTCTCACGTGTGCCATTTGTCCCACCAGCCATGGGATGGTGACCAGCTGAGCATCTGAGGCTCTCTGCTCCATAGTGCAGGCAGGAAGCACCCAAGGGGCTGAGCGGGCAGAGGAAGGCACCCGGGAGGAGCTTGACCATGGCTTGGTCCCCGAGGGGCTGACAGGATGGCACCCAGCAACTGCCACCCACCAGGGTCCCCAGGCAGCACGGGCTGGAAGTCCTGATCCCAGTGGTCAGGCTGACCTGCCAGCCCGAAGGGCTCAGCCCCCAAGTCACCTCAGGGGGACCCTGTGGGGACCCCTGGCCATGCAGACCAGAAGCATGGGAGAGGTCCTACAGGGCCACCTTGAAGTCAGGACGTGGTGCTCCCCGAGAACATGGCACGCAGGTATCCCACGGCCAGGGGCCAACAAAGACCAGAGCCAGGAAGAAAGGACAAGTGTCCGCTGGGTGGGCAAGGTGACAGGGGTCTCAGAAGAGGGCAGGGTGGGCTGGTGGGGACAGAGAGGGGAGCAGCAAAGGCTCGGGCACCCAGGGAAGGCAGGGCCAGGTGCTCTCCCCATAGAGGTACTGACCAAGAAGACAGGGGTGTGGCTGGGAGGGGCCACTGGGCTCCGTCTCACTGGGCCGCAGGAGGGGACGCAGTGGGGACGAACTCACTGCACACTCCCAGGGCACCCAGGCCTGGCCGGGCCAGCTGGCACTGCCTTGCTGTGGGCACTCGCTGACCTCACCCGCATCTCTGTCCACGCCAGCCTGGAGCCATCAGACTCACGAGCACGCCTCAAGGGCTCTGTGCTCCACTGGCCACTGTGCCTGGCGGACAGTCACCTGGAACCAGACAGCCCCATGCAGAGGGCTTCAGGCAGAGGCCCACATGGGCCCCAAGGCAGCAGGGCAGCGGACCACAACAGCGGCCACTGCTCAATCACCATGTCCAGAAAGACACCAGCAGGGGGACTCTGCAGCCCAAGGGGGCCAGCTAAGGACAGTGACTGAGGCAGGATCAGGACTCACTAAGGCACAGGCTGCACCACCCCAGGGCTGTGGGTATGGAACCAGGGTCCTGCTGAGGGACACATGGCACTGGGCTGGGAAGCTAGGGAGGCAGCTGGTTCGAGGGGCCAAGCAACAGGCCCAGCCGGTCAGCGATGCCTGGGCCCCACACACAGCATGGCCACAGCACCCCTGAACTCTCGTGGACCCTCCCTTTACACAGAAATCTTTCTGACAGCTCTGCCGGGCCATCAAGGGGGCCAGGATGTGGCAGGATCCCCTCCCAGCTCTAGGCCACTGCAGCCGGCCCCAGCCGCCTCCCTGTCCAGCCTCGCACTTCTGTCCTCAACCCTGCCACACCCTGGGCCCTGGCATTGGCCACCACTGGGTGCTCCCATTTCCTAGGGAGGCCACATGCTGTCTAAGGGGACCTTAGGGACAGGGGACCTCGCCCTGTGTGTGCTCACCCAAGAGCCCCCAAGTCCCCAGCTTGCCATTCTGCCACTCACCAGCTTTCCAGCTCCCACCACCAAGCTGCCTGGTGTTGATTGTGCCACCTGGTGGCTGCAGCAGGAAGTGCCCCTCACCAC